GAAAGCAACGGCGAGCTCAAGCGGAGTAGACATCAAGCGAAGCTACTTTCAAGATAAAAGAGTGCATTAGAGCAACAACTGCAAGAGAGTTGGGCTCAAAATGAGAAATTGAATGATAGGGTCTTGAGTTTAGACACATATTTACGACGTTACCGAAGTCGAGAATGTATTTCAAACCGTGCGGAAGTTGAAAACTTGAAGAAGCTTGTGAATGAACTTGAGGTTATTGTTTAAGATTTTCAGAGAAGGAAAAGTGTATTGCCTATAATCCCCTATGAAGGAGTTATACAGTGGTACTATCGTTGGGAATAGGCTCAGTGGAGAGTTAAGCAAAGGGATGTCCTCATCGAAAGCTACCTGCAACATGCTCAAGGAGTGGCTTAGTACTTGGTTGATTTATCACATGAAGCCGATGCTGTAAGTGAAGGATTGGAACTCGAGACTAAAAAAACTCAGATAATTTTGGATTTACTAGGGCACATGTAACAATTAGGAGAGATAGCTCAGATCTATATGTGATATGTTTAAGCCTTGTAACCAAACTTCGTTTCTAATATAAAAAGTTGTTATAAGGAATCATTCCAAAATCAAAACCGTGCATTTTTGCATCTACATAACATTTACTTTTCACATTGCATTTTATTCATTAATAGCCATCTTTTTCACATTCAATAATAAAATATCAATATTAATAAAAGGAGTGTATGGTAGAATACTGGAAACTTCTAAGCATCCGTATCATACCCGAAAAAAGAAATGGACGAGAGAATTACCCAAATTCAGAAGACTCAACTTGAAATGCGTGAGAGTTTCAAGAATGCTCGAGAGGAGATACGTGAACAAATGTTGAAAGCTCATAATGATATGATGGAAAAAGTAGCGAGCTTGTTACAGGGAAAGAATACAAGTCGTGAAGAGACTCTAAACATTAGTGCTACTATCGAAAAACCTGTGTATCCCTAGGCTTTGAACCACTGCCTGATCATGGAAAGGCTGTAACTGTTGGTTCTACCGAATAACCCTTATATCCCATGACTTTACACCACTGCATGTTTGAGCACAACAAGCAACGACTGCTCATCCCAGAAGAATACACATAAACTTACCTGGCACCTATGTGAACTCGTACCTAGTTTAAGATGCCCCATATTTCGATGAGGAGGGACAAAAAGCAAAATAAGAAATTAGAGGATAAATGAAAACAACTGGAAAATGAAATTAGAGCTATGAAAGAAGACACTAGCATGTATGGAATCGATGCCAAAGAGCTAAGTTTGGTTCCTGATTTAGTGCCACCTCCCAAGTTTAAAATTACTAATTTTGAAAAATTTGATGGCACGAGATGTCCCTATGTACACATCACTATGTTCTACAGATATAATCAGTTGGTATAATTACTTGATCATGAATCAAATTATATCCTGGAAGGATTTGGCTAAAGCGTTTCTAGATTAATATAAACACGTGAAAGATATAAGGCCTAATCGAATCATGTTGCAGAGAATGTGAAAGAAATCTTATGAAAGCTTCAGACAATATGATCAAAAGTGGAGAGATGTGGCTGTACAAGTTCATCATCCACTTAAGGAAGAGGAAAAAATGCTATTTGAAAACACTCCGAGAGCTCATTTCATTGGCCACCTCATAGGAAATTCATCCAAGAGTTTTGCTGATTTGGTCACAGAAGGAGAAATAATCGAAATGGCAGTCAAGAGTGAGAGGCTTGACGGATGAGTCCAACAAGAAACCACATGTGAAAATGAGGGATAATGAAATTAATAACGTGAGGAAGTATGGCTCTAATAAAATAATTATGTCTCGACCTTAAGAAATGGGGTCATCCACACAAAATTATGCCATGCAAGGGACAAGAGAACTAAGAAAAGAGAGAGAAAGGCTTCAATTTGACCCGATTTCCATTTCTTACAAGGAATTGTTTCAGATTTTATATGATAAACATATGGTGTCACCTTACCATACATCACCAATGCAGCCTCCCTACCCTAAATGGTATGACGCTAATACTCAATACGAGTATCATGAAGGGGTTCTGGGACATGCAATAGAGAATTACATTTCCTTTAAGAAGATTGCCCAAAGGTTAAGGCAAAAGAACTTCAACAACTTTGATGAAAACAAGCAACCAAATATAGAACAGAACCCATTGCCTAACCATACAGGTGCAGGGGTTAATGCAATTGTTGAGGACTGAAGAAAGAAAATTATAACAAATGTGAGTGAGGGGAAGTCACCAATGCATTGGGTATGGGGGGAGATGATCAAGACATGCTTGTTGGTCTCTAACATGGTTGATAAGAGTAAACATTCATGCCAATATCACAACTGTGAGGCTCATACCATACAAGATTATTCTAAATTCTGAGATTTGGTGCAAAGAATGATGGATGAAAAGGAGATGGAATTTTACAAAGAAACTGTTGAAAAAGAAGAAACATGGATTGTGCATTTGAGGATTCTTTTAAGGGAGTTTACAATGCCAGTTATCCTCTAGTCATTACACCAAAAACTCATGTGGTAGAGAAAATAACTTCTAAAGTGATAATCATACCCCTGCTTCATTCCTTTATAAGGACAATAAACAAGTCACTTGGTGTTACGAGTGTAAGATGAATAATATGGGTACTTCAGAGAACGTTAAAGAAGAAGTTGATAAGGTAGGTCATTTTACCATAAGTGGGAGATGTTATTCTCCCAATCAGACCAACGAATATTAGAAAAGAACTATCGTTGATAAAGGGAAGAAGGATGACTTGTTGCTAAAAGAGGATGAGCTAATTATTAACGAGTCTATGACAGAAAATGAGGCTGTGGAGTTTTGGAAAATTTTGAAACATAGCGAGTATAGCATCGTTGAACAGCTACATAAACTACCTACTCGTATCTCAATCCTTGATCTTTTACTAAGCTCTGAGGCACACCAGAATGCATTATTGAATGTCTTGAATCAGACTTTCGTATCGAAGAATGTACACGTGGATAAGATAGATAGGATAGTTGTGAATATTCAAACTGATACCTTTATCTCTTTTTTTCGATGATGAGATCCCATATTGGATGGTTGGCAGTCACAAAGCCCTGTACATTACTATTAGGTGCAAGGGGCATGTGTTATCCCAAGTGCTAGTTGACAACGGCTCTACGCTGAATGTAATGCCATTGGTAACCTTGAACATGTTTCCAATCGATAGTACACACATAATGAATTGCCAAATCATCTTTCGAGCATTTAAAAAACCAAAAAGAGAAGTGACGAGGATGATTGATGTTCCTTTGACCATATGCCCATATACTTATGAGGTAGAGTTCCTTGTTATGAACATTATGCCTATGTACAATTGCCTATTGGGAAGGCCTTGGATCCACCAGGCAGGGCCCGTGCCATCCACTCTGCATCAGAAACTCAAATTCGTTAGTGAGGGAAAATTGGTATGCATCAATGATGGGGAAGACATTATTACTTTCGTATCTACTACTTCCCCTTATGTTAAAGTGGAGGAAAAAGCTGTTGAATGTTCATTCAGATCCTTGGAATTTGATAATTCCATATTTGTGGCTGAGGGGGAGAAGTTATCAAGCCTAGACTATCCAATTATACTAGAATAGAATTAAAAATGACTATGGAAAGGGGGTCAAGCCTTGAAAAGGGCTAGCGAGCCGCCTATAGAGATATGTTAATCCAGTTTTTCCCACAATCAAAAGAGACCATTTAGGCCTGGTATATCAGCCGACCTTGATAGAGAAATTGAAAGGTATTTAGAAAAGCCAAGAAAGGAGGAGAGCAATGTTAGGCGAGGAGGATATTAAGTGGGAGCCTATAACTTTTCGACCGCTATGTGATACCTTTTTCTCTGGAGGCCATATGTTCCATGGAATCCAATCAACTAAGGAATGGATTATTGTGAATGAATTAGTAAATATGGGCATTAATATGAGAGTATATGATGATGAGGCTAAAGAAGGAATAGTTGTAGGCATCTATTCCACACTGCCAGACTTCATGCTAAACAATTGGACTACAAAGGAAATACATGTAGTTTACAAAACTTTTTTAGAGTAATTCACAAAAACTTCCCCTATTGTCTAAACCCAGGGCAATAGGTGATATTTCATAAAGGGTTAATCTACTTGTTTTTAAATCTTCAATGAAAGATGCATTCCTATTAATTCACAAAGTGGAAAAGATTATTTCGTGCATTTCTTTCATTCTTTATTATTTATGTATATATTATTTCATTCTATTTTGATATGGGATATATTCTCCTATATGTGCATATATATCTCTCGCTCGTTATCCTTTTAGGACCTCCGATATCAATAGTATGAATGCTGATGACACTGACCCGAAGATTAATTTCGACCTGCCATATGTCAAAGGGAAATCGAGGGTTATGATAATAATGAGGATTGTGACTTACCTTATGAACTACTAAAAATGGTGGAAAGGGAAGATAAACATATTCTGCCTCATGAAGAGCCCATTGAAATTTTGAATATGGGATCATACGAAAATAAGAAAGAACTAAAGATTGGCACCACCCTATCTGTCGAGGGATAATAGAGTTTGATTGAACTGCTTTGAGAGTACAAAGACGTGTTTGCTTGGTCATATGAGGACATGCAAGGTTTAGATACTAAATTGGTGGTACACAAATTACCGATTAAGCCAAAATATAAACATGTACAACAAAAAAGCTCAAAATGATGAGACCCGAGATACTACTGAAAATTAAAGAAGAAGTCAAAAACAATTCGATATTGGATTCCTTAAAGTAGCCAAGTATCCTGAGTGGGTGGAAAATATCATTATAGTACTAGTGAATGATGGAAAAGTTTGCATGTGTGTTGACTACAAAGATCTTAATAGGGTGAGCATGAAAGAAAATTTTCTTTTGCCACACATAGATACCCTGGTAGACAATACTGCTAGGAATTCCCTATTTTCATTAATGGATGGGTTCTCTAGTTACAATAAAATAAAGATGCATCCTGAAGATATGGAAAAGACTACGTTTGTCACCATGTGGTACACATTTTGCTTCAAGGTGATGCCATTTGGGATAAAGATTGTAGGGGCAACATACCAGAGAGTTATGGTAAAACTATTTCATGACATAATGCATAAAGAAGTATAGGTTTATGTTGATGATATGATATTTAAGGTCAAGATATTTGAAGAACACGTAGAGAATCTGAGGAAACTCTTCCGAAGATTGAGAAGATGCCAGCTAAAACTCAATCCAAACAAGTATACCTTCAGGGTGATGTATGGGAAACTTTTGGGGTTCATAGTGAGCAAAAAAGGGATTGAAGTAGATCCAAAAAAAGTCAAAGCTATTAAGGATTTACTACCTCTACAAACATAAAAAAGTTCAAGGATTCCTGGGAGATTAAACTGCATTGCTCAGTTTATTTCACAATTAACCAAGAAGTGTGATCCCATTTTTTGCCTTCTCCGTAAAAATAACCCAGGGGTATGGAGTAATGATTGCCAAGAAGCTTTTGGAGTAATAAAATAATATTTTAAATGTTTAAGTCTTAATTCCACCTATCTCAAGTAAACCATCAATTCTTTACTTATCATTCTTCGAGAATTCAATAGGGTGTGTATTAGGGCAGCATGACCAAACCAAGAAAAAAGAAAGAGCAATTTACTACATCAGCAAAACATTCACTAATTATGAGGAAAAATACTCCCCGATTGAAAGGTTGTGTTGTGCTTTAGTTTGGACTACTCGAAGGCTCAGACAGTATATGTTGTATCATATTACTTGGTTGATCTCTAGACTTGACCCTTTGAAATATCTAATGGGTGTACCCTCTTTATCTAAAAGATTGGCTCGTTGGTAGATTTTATTGTCTGAGTTTGATTTCCATTATGTGAGCCAAAAAGCAGTTAAAAGGAGTGCTATAGCAGATTTCATTGTTAGCAGGGCTTCTGAAGAGTATGAACCACTGAACTTCAATTTTCCAGATGAAGATTTGATGGCTATTTCAGCTGAAGAAGCAGTTTGCTCTACTTATGAACATTGGAAGTTGAATTTTGATGGTGTTTCGAATGCCTTAGGGCATGGGATTTTGGCAATTTTGGTCTCACCTAGTATAGGACATTATCCTTTCACGAGTCGATTAAATTCTGATTGCACAAACAACATGATTGAGTATGAAGCGTGTATTTTGGGTCTCATAGCTGCCATTGAGCGTAAAGTAAAAACACTAAAAGTGTATATGGATTCAGCTCTGGTAATTTATCAACTTAGATGTGAATGGAAAATGAAAGATCCCAAGTTGGTGGAATATCGTAAGTTAGTCCTGGATATGATCAAAGAACTTGAAGAAGTGACATTCCACTACCTCCCAATAGAAGAGAATCAAATGGAGGATGCTCTAGCCACTTTGGTAGAAACCTTTAAAGTAAATGAGTATTCAAATATGATGACTTTTGAGAAGCAAGCTTATGAGTATCCAACCCATTGCTATAGCATAGAAAAGGAAGATGATGGAAATCTTTGGTATTATTATATCTTGCAATACATCAAATATCAAAGTTATCCTGAGTAGACAACTGAGAATGACGAAAGAAATATTAGAAGGATGGTTGCAGGTTACGTACTTGACGGTGAGATCTTATACAAAAAAAGCAATGATCAGGTTTTGTTGAGATGTGTGGATGTCAAAGAAGCTAAAACAATCATTGAAGAAATGCACTAGAGAGTATGTGGTACCCATACTAATGGACATGAAATAGCTAGAGAAATAATGAGATTTGGGTATTATTGGTCAACCATAGAAATTGATTGTATCGATTATGCCAGAAAATATCACAAGTACCAGATTTATGGAGAAACTTCATACCCCTCTTTATCCATTGCTCGTGATGACTGCTCCGTGGCCTTGTTCTATGTGGGGCATGGATGTCATTGGACAAATTTCTCCCAAAGCTTTAAATGGTCATCATTTCATCTTGGTGGCAATAGACAACTTCACCAAATGGGTAGAAGCGACTTTCTATGCAAATGTCACTCAATCAACAATATTCAAGTTCTTAAAGAAATATATTATTTGTCGATATATGTTACCTGAAACAATTATCACTGACAATGCCTTGAACTTAAACAATAAGATGATAGAATCAGTACGTAAGCAGTTTTAGATAAAACATCATAATTCCACCACTTATCGCCTAAATATGAATGGGATAGTAGAGGTAGTTAATAAGAACATCAAGAGGCTTATAAAGAAAATGTCTGAGACTTATAAAGACTAGCATGAGAAGTTACCATTCGATCTATTTTCCTATTGAACTTCGATAAGGACGTCAATTAGGGAAACTCCATTTTCCTTAGCCTATGGGATGAAAGCTGTGTTACCCGTCGAGGTAGAAATTCCGTCGCTTCGAGTTCTATCAGAAGTTAAATTGGATGAACTAGAATGGGTACAAGTTAGGTATGACTAGCTGAATATGATTGATGAAAAAAGATTAAAAGCTATCTGTTATGGACAAATGTACAAGAAGGTTTACCCACGAGAGATTTAGTAAGGAGATCTAGTACTTAAAAAGAATCTTCCAAATCAAAAAGATTTTATAGGTAAATGGATGCCAAATTAGGAGAGACCTTATGTTGTGAAAAAACCTTTTCAAAGCTCACCAAGATGGATGGACCAGAGTTACCTAACCCTGTGAATTCCGACGCTGTTAAGAAATACTTCACCTGAAGAAAGAAAAATAAAGAAAAATAAAATAAATTAAAATAAATAAAATAGGGTTCAAGATAAAAATCCGCAAAGGGCGTCTTAAAACCAAAGGATGTCTCAAGTTGAAAATCGATAAAGGGCAACTTGGGAATTATTCAAATTCAGGATTCGTGCATGGTGGAGGTTCTGAATTAATTACAAAGATTTGAGCAGTGACATCAAATGGTGGTTAGGGTTAGGACTAGAGATTGAAAAAGGCTTGAATAACCAGAAAAAATTGAAGAGCACATGAGATTCAAATATTGGTTTATGACATCCAATATTCGAGGAATTTGGTAGTACATGGAAAATTTACACCCTTACGCATTGTCACAATTCTCAAGATCCATTTAACAAAAGCGACAATCAAGTCATTTTGCAACATGCTAGTTCAAAAGAATTCGTACTATTGATATATGAGGATGCTTACTTTATTTTCTTTTGATTTTTCAAGTTAAAAGTTTGCCATGCATTTATATAAAAAAACTCTTACATTTTTATAAATAAAAAGAGGTATTTTCCTTGTTAAAACCATTTTACGAGCATCCTAATTTGAAAATAAAAACATGTAGATTAACTTGGGAAACATGATATCATTGTGTAATATTGTACAAAAAGTTTTGGAAAAGTGCAGGTGTTCCAAAGTTGAAAATGACTTTAGCATGAGGCTAACATGATGATGGGCTACAGAAAGTTAAAACCTTGGGCTACACATAAAAGCTTAGAAAGTTGGGATAATCCACGATGTTTGTCGCTGATCAAGTAGATGTTCCTGAATAATGTCTGGATTCAAGAATAAAAAGAATCAAAGACATGTTCAACCAAAGAGTGTCTGATGAGAATTGTAAATCGGGGTGAACTACTATTGATCGACAAAAGAAAGTTCTCATTTGAAAAATAAAATACCCTAAAATTGCATCATTGCACACATTTTAGGCATAAATAGGATCATAACATTCATAAAATGCATGACGGTGATAAATGCAATTGAGTACTTACAAGTTTTCCAAATGGAAATGTTGAAGATGTCGAGACCCAACATAAAAGTAACCAATTAAAAGTCCCAAAAAGGAAAGGTTCAACTGACATTCAAGTCGAGGAAGATTCCTATATTTGGTGGCTGCGAGATAAGCTTTCACAAGAAAAATCAATTTCCAAAGATTATCTTGAATTCCAAAAACTTTTAGGTATGATGTTTTCAAATTCTCAAAACATATACTAACAAGTGGTAATGCTTAATTTCTAAATTTGGTATTCTTAAAAGAAAGAGAAGCAAATCGAACTCGATTCAATGTTCCCTGAAGAATAATGGAATGAATCAACTTTTCCAGATCTGATTTTCCCTGAAGAAGCAGTGGAGTGGATCCCTTGTTTTTCAAGATTTGATCTTCCTTGAGGAATAGTGAAACAAGTCTGTATCGTTTCAATCTTCCCTGAAGAACATTGGAGTGAAGCAACATCTCCAGATCTGATTTTCCCTGAAGAAACAACGAAACAAATCCCCTCTTTCCAGATTTGATCTTCCTCGAGTAGCAGTGGAACAAGTCTGCATCGATTCAATCTTCCCTGAAGAACAATGGAATGAATCAATATTTCCTAATTTGATATACCCTGAAGAAACAACAGAGCATATCTCTTTTCAGACTCTATCTTCAAAAATCTCTCTTGATATGTTTATTTCCAGTCTCATTTGAGACAATATCAGATTTCCAAGTACATATCGGACCTGGAGAAAACTCATTGTCTCTTTATATTTTATGTATTCTTGTTAACACAAAAATGGGCAATGAGGAGCAGTTGTCAACGCCCATTTTCACCCGGGGATCTTGTTGATGTTATTAATTATTATTTAATTATTATTTATATTATTATTATTATTATAATGTTTATATTTTTTTATTTTTTATTTCTGTAGGCCCAAATTAAAACCAATAACCCAATACCCAATTACAAACCCAAAACCCGGGCCCAAGCAAAAAACTTAGCCCAGACAAAACCCTAACCCAACTAGAGTTTTATTCTCTTCTCTTTGCGCCGCACAATCACAACCATTGGATATGAGAGATATCTAGCATCCCTGATAACCCCTGATCATGTCTTTACCCTATCCCTGCCATAATAGCCCTGCTGTACCAGTCCCCTACCACCGCCATTTCTGTCAACAACATTAGCCCTGCTGCACCAGTCTCCTACCACAACCATTTTTGCCAATCGTGAAAGGCAACCCTTCCACATTAGTTCATCCAAATCAGCATGCAACACAATGTAATTATTCATTTTTTTAAAAAAATCTGTAAAAATCAAGGGTTATAAAACCCAAACAATTGTATGCAAAAGAGGCTCTTCTTTTTTGTTTTTCAGAAGCAATCAAGTAAAAAATTTCAAGGTATTTTTCTTTTATTTTTGGTTTCAAAATAAATACAATAAAATATAAAAACTAGGTTTTACCCTATATATGAATTTTAGGGAGTGAATCGAGCATTTAGGGTCTTTTGGGTTTCGTTTGTAAGCTTCAACCACCATGTGTGGTGGCCAAAATGGCGGCGTAGGGTGTCCAACAGTGGGCCGACCAAAAGAAAAGAAGAGAGATAGGGGATAGAGTTTTAGAATTTTTTTAAGTGTCGGTTAAAATGAAAAAAAGGAGAAAATAGGTTTTATAGGAAACTTTAGGGTAAAATCACACATAGGTCTCTTAACTTAAGTGCGTTTTTGCATGTTGGTCACTTGTAGGGCCAAAGTTGTCATTTACCCATTTTATATATGCTTTATTTTTTTGGGATATTTTCTATTTAATCCCCCATAGTTTAGATTTTTTTGCATATTGGTCACCTGTAGGGACCAAAGTTTTTATTTACCCGTTTTCATGTATGTTATGTGTTTATTAGGTTATATGATTTTTAGTGTCTCTATGTTTAGTTTGCTTTTGCATTTTGGTCATATGTAGTTACTGCTTAATTTTATTTTAATTTGGCTAGACTGATTTAGTAATTTACGTATTTTCTTTAAAAGCATGTTTTAAGCTTGTGAAAAAAGGTATAATCTTTTAATAGTCCCTGTAGTTTCAACATGTTTGTATTTTGGTTTTCAATATTTTTTTATTATTTAATTTAATCATGCAATTTTATTTTATTTTAATTTGGTCTCCACGTCTTATTTATTTTTATTCATTACAATTTTAGCACTTAATATTAAAAATGTTCCTTTTAGTCACTTTTTTACTTTATTTTATTTTAATTTTTGACATGATGATTTATTTGTTATCATTCTATTTCTACTTGCATTTTGGTTTTATTTTAATTTTTACATGTTGCTTTTATGTTATTTTATTTTAGTCACTAATTAGTTTTGTTCTCTATTAATTTGCTTGATACCCTCATAAGCATTCCTTGACACGAATCAAAATAATTTGACTACGAGTAATATTCGTTCATTTTAAGGTCGTCGTAAAGTGATTGACATAATGTATAAGAAAGTTAATTTCAATAATTTTAAAATAAAAGCCTATCCCCTTAAGTGACATGAATTAAATTGATTCTATTTTAAAATTTCGGGATTGAGAAAAAAGATCATGTTCTTTTAATTAAGTTCATCGAGAAAAGACTATTAGATCGAATCTAAGGTATTGTCTCGATGTATTTAAATATTTGAACATCCTTATTCTAATTAAATGTTGGTAAAATAAATAATTAATTGTACTTGTGTGTGATTTATGCTTTTAATTTGTATTATTTTTGCATGTATTTTTAAATAGGATTTCAAAATAAGTAACACTCGAATTAATATTGAATTTTAGGACAAAATAGTAATATCTTTTCATTTCGGTTGGA